AATAAACTTTTTTTGAGGTTTTTTTCACCATCATCACCTGGCCCACTGTGCATTTCCGATTGCTTTGCGATGTATACTAGTGTTGTTATTAAACGAAGAGAACACTTACATTTAAAACAAATTTTAAAATTACAATTTACAATTGTAAAAACCACGTAGAAATAAAATAAGAATTCAATTATTTTACGAGTAAAAAATTGGTATTTTCTAAAAACTTCGTCGAAGTTTCGTCGAAGTTTCTCGATTTGTCTCGAACTCCGAAACTCCGAAAAACCGAGAAAAATCCGTCGAGACGGAGTTCCGAATGGATCCACTGCTTATAGTTAGTTCAGGATGCACCTTAAAATCCTAAATACTTCAGGATTTGCCTTATACCCCAGACAGCAAGCTTACATTGGCCCAACGTAAGTTTTAACATTGGCAAGTTTATTCCGTTGGGCCAACATTTAGCCAATGTTTTTTTTCGACGTATTATTTGTATTTATCGTATTTATCGTACTACGTTGGGCCAACATTTAGCCAATGGCTTAATATTTTGCTATAAAAATCTGTTCTTACATTTAAGCCGTTGCCAATATTCGGCCTATGTAGTTGCGGATTAGTAAATATTTTTAAAACATTTTTAAAAATGGTATCGTTTGACAGAATAAAAAAAGGTTTTGATATTATCTTTCCATTTTTTTAAATTATATATAAAAAAAAAGAAGCTATATTTATGAATCTTATAAGAATCTTAAAAGGTTCGTTATATGAAACAAGTTTCAAGAGATTCTCGTGACTTAATGTTTTTTTTTTTTTTAATAATGAAATATTTGTTAACAGTTAAATAATATACTTGAAACATTTTTTACTACAATGTAAGTTATTAATGTAATAATAAAGGTAATAATTAAATTATTTTTGTGTAAGATCCTAAAGTTATTTTTTACACTTATTGCTGTATTAGCATTTCAAATGTTTGATTTATTTAATAATCTTTATTAAATAAATGTAACATTTCAAATGTTCGATTTATTTAATAAAGAAGACATTTTAAATTCTTCTTTATTAAATATATCAAACATTTGAAATGTCATACAGTATAAGTATTTAAAAAAAATTTTTCATAATTTATTTATAATAGTTTAGATTATATAGCTATTATAAGATATATTATTAAAGGTATCAGTAATATATATGTGGCATTGAAGTTGTTAGAAGCTGATATTTTACATTTTAAGTATGTCTTTTTTGTTTGATTGTGAAACCCCATCTACTCAAATATTAAAACAGTGTACAAAAAGTGATGTTATTAGAATTTATATTCTACTTATGTAGAGCTTTCTAATATTGCCAGACATTTTGTTTTAAAACCAATGACTAGTCTAAAATAATTGATTGAATTATCAGATTAAATCAATAAATAATCATTAAAATCAATTGAAATAAAAAGACTCAATTTAAATCATTATTTTTATTTGTCTGATTTAAATCATGATTTAAATTGAAACAACCCTTTATATATTCCATCTTTCTAAGGCAGAGGGACATTATTTTTGGTTTTATAATTTTTAATTTAATATCTCTGGATATTTTTCATAATTAGTTTGTGTAATGCAGTTAACAACTTAAAGCTTATACATTAACTTTCGTTATAACTTAATTATTATTAATTTGATTTATAGATTTTTATAGCAATACAAGATTGAATTTAGCGGAAGGCTAAACTTCTGCTCTGGAGTCAAAAAAAGGAAGATAGCGAAAATAACCAGCCAAAATAAAGATTAAAGAGACAAAAAATTGTGTATATTTTGGTGTAGATGATTTATCCTCAATTTCTTATAATAAAACTAAAAATATTAATAAACTTTGGGATTTACCTGTAACTACAAACTCCTTACAGAAGTTCAATGTTTGCTCCGAGAAGTTAAATGAACAAAATTTATTAAATGGTAAGTTTTTATATAAAATTCTTTATGTCTGATGATTGAAAATATTTATTCATAGCTTTAACTTTTACAATTTTAAAGACTTTTTCATATATTACGGTCAAAAAGTTAGAGTGTAATTAACATTTTATTTTATAATAATCAACATATCAAAGCTTACACCACTGGCTTGGTCAGAAAGCGGGAGCAATCGCTCTTGGATACTGACCACCGAAATTATATTTAGTTGCGAAGAACTGGCCAGGTTGAGAACATTTATGTTTATGAACGTAACAAACAATTTTTTTTGGATTTGAAATCATTTGGAACCAACTGTTGAAAAAAACAACAGACTATTCATATCAGTTTAAAGTTTTAACAGTTGCTGGTGGTTCATTATTATTTATTGTATAAACGTTTATTTAAATTTATCTAATAGACAAAGGTAATACGATATTTTAATAGATGATATTATCTTTTCAATTGTATTATTAAAATTCAGAACTAAAATATGTAAAAAAAAAAATTATATTCAAACATTGGACAAGGTCTGTACTGTACCTGGAAAATCTGGAAAATATGTTAATATTGGCCAAAGTGGTGGAAAACCTGGAAAAGTCAGGGAATTATTTTTTTTTTAGATAGTCATGGAAAAGTCAGTAATTCTAGTTAAGAAGTTACTTATTTTGCAATTGAACGCTGTATTTTAAAAACGTGAAGAGTCACACTTCTTAAAATTGAGGTTATTTGAAAAGAATATTTTTTTTAGTAAAAGATGAAATTATAAGATAAAAAAAAGATTTTTTAGATAAAATAAAGATTTTTTTTTTGATAAAAAAAATAATTTTTAGTTAAAATAAAAACAAAATTTTTTTTAGGAAAAATGTTTTTTGCTCTCCTGTAAAATTATAATATTGGGACTTGTCACATTTTCAAAATACAGCGCTCAATTAATCTATTATGTTTTTTTTTTGGTGCTACTAATTTATTTTTTCTGAAACGTTTTTCTAAGTGTTCATTCTTAATCATCCTTAATAATAAGAACCACACTAACATGTATAATAAGATCTATACTAATATCTAACTTAAGTAATAGCTAAGTTTTATAAGTTTTGTCATTCAAAGCATGTATATTCTTAGCATTTCCATTACAGTAGATAGTAATTTTAAACATTTTGTAAAAACCATTGTTAAAAATCCTCAGGGAAATTCATCTGATTTTTCAAAAAAGTCATTTAATTTTATATAAATAGTTGGCTACGAACCCTGTTGGAAATGTGTATCTCAAACATTAATAAGAATTGTTTTGTGTCAGTCCCAGAAATTCAATGCACACCTGCAAATTTCATAATTCATAAAAATATTATGAATCCATTAGCAAGTATATATTTTGATCATTAAAAGTTTGTCCCTCTGTCTTTAATTTTATCTGTTTTATTAGTGATTGTTGTATTTACTTTTATAAAGTCTAAATATAATATATAATTAGTTGTATAGTTTCTTAATAATATACTTAACTTTATTGTTTCAAGATAAAGTTGTATCCTTGAAAGATATGCTGGTATTATTGGCACAATGGGCAAGCATTGAAGTGCAACTTGGTGAACTACAAAATACATCAAATTCAGTTATAAAAATTTGAAATTCAAAATTATGCTAATTATTGTATTGTCTGAAAGAGTGTCATTGCCATCAAAAGCAGTGAAGAATTCAAGTACTCTGGAAGAAAAAAGACAAGAAAACACTTCAGTAAATGGTAAATATTTTTTTATGATCTGGTTATGCATTTAGTATGATATGTAGTACAATTTATATACTTTAAATAAAATACTCTTTTAAGATTTTTTGTAAATGACATTTTATATTAACTTAAGTCTAAACTAAAGTTACTTTAATTACTGCCAGGCTGTGTATTTTTGCAAGTTAATTATTTGGCACAAATTGGAGTTAAAGACAAAGGAGAATGTATATGTTATTTACTAAGAACAACTTATTAAAATGGCCTAGCTGTAAAATTAAATTATGCAGGGAGAGGATAAAAAATTGGAATAGGAAAAATGTTGATTGCATATGCTGCTATTGGTAAGTGGTTTAGAAAAGTTAATTTTTTCAGTTTCAATTTTGTATTACAGAATTACTTTCAATTTGTTATGTTTCTTTGATGCATAATTAAACAAACAACTTTTTTTTTTTCGCAGAAACTGTGAAGTCAATTAAGCATGGCTTATGCAGACATGTGATAGAGATAGCGGAAGAAAAAATAATAATCGTGGGCACCAAATATCATAACCCAGACAGCAAGCTTACATTGGACCAACGTTGGGCCAATGCATGATGATGCATTGGCCCAACGTTGAAAGTCGATGTTGGCCCAATGCAGGTTTGATCATTGGTTAGGTATTGGCCCAATGTTGTGTACAACATTGGACCAATATTGTATACAACGTTTACCCAACATTGGCCCAACGTTGTATATAACGTTAGGCCAATGTTGTTTACAACATTGGCCCAACGTTGTATACAACATTAGCCCAACGTTGTATACAACATTGGCCCAACGTTGTATACAACATTGGCCCAATATCGTATGTTATATATCGGCCTAACGTTTTATGCAACATTAGATCGTTGTTACAAATAAAATGATTTAAAAAAATTTTGAAAATTTATACAGAAAAAAAAGAATGTATGATACAAGTATAAAAATTTATTTATTTAACATAATTTATCGGTTAAATATACATATTGCAAACACCAAACTTAAACCAAAAACTGACACATTGAGTTTTAAATAAAAAAGTTCACTATAAAATTTATAGAGTAGTTTCGATATTGGCTGAGCTACTTGTTATTGAATATTGTTTAGCTTATGATATTTGGTGCCCACGTCTATTATTTTTTCTTCCTCTATCTCTATCACATGTCTGCATAAGCCATGCTTATTTGACTTCACAGTTTCTGCAAAAAAAAATAGTTGTTTGTTTAATTATGCACCAAAGAAACATATCAAATTGAAAGTTTGTAATGCAAAATTGAAACTGAAAAAATAAACTTTTCTAAACCACTTACCAATAGCAGCATATGCAATCAATATTTTTTCTATTCCAATTTTTTGTCCTCTCCCTGCATAGTTTAATTTTACAACTAGGCCATTTTAAAAAACTATTCTTAGCAAATAAAATATACAATCTCCTTTGTCTTTAATTCCGATTTGTGCCAAATAATTGACCTGCAAAAATACACAACCTGGCAATAATTAAAGTAACTTTTGTTTAGACTTAAATTAATATAAAATGTAATTTACAAAAAATCTTCAAAGAGTATTTTATTTAAAGATATCATACAAAATGCATAAAAAAATTATAAAAAAATATTTACCATTTACTTACGTATTTTCTTTTCTTCCAGAGTACTTGAATTCTTTACTGCTTTTAATAGCAATGACACTCTTTCAGGCAATACAATAATTAGTATACCTTTGTAACTCAAATTTTTATAACTGAATTTGATGTGTTTTGTAGTTTACCAAGTTGTACTTCAATGACGACTAAGAATGAACACTAAGAAAAACATAAATTTCAGAAAAAATAAATTAGTAGCACCAAAAAAAAACATTATAGCTTAATTGAGCGTTGTATTTTGAAAATGTGACAAGTCACAAAATTTAAATTTTATAAGGGAGTGAAAAATATTTCTCCTGTAAAAAATTTTATTTTTATTTTATTTAAAGATTGTTTCTTTTCTCTAAAAAAATCTTTACTTTATCTAAAATAATCTTTATTTTATCTAAAAAATCTTTATTTTATCTTAATATTCTTTTATTATAAGTGAGGTTATTTGAAAAGAATATTTTCAAAAAAATATTCTTTTCAAATAACCTCACTTTTAAAAAAAGTGTGACTCATCACGTTTTCAAAATACAGCGTTCATTTGTGAAACGAGTAACTTCTTAACTAGAATTACTGATTTTTCCATGACTATCTAAAGAAAAAAATAATTTCATGACTTTTCCAGGTTTTCCACGACTTTAGCCAATATTAACAAATTTTCCAGATTTTCAAGGTACAGTACGGACTTTATCCAATGTTTGTAAATAATTTTTTTTACATATTTTAGTTCTGAATTTTAATAACACTATTTTTAAAAATAATATCATCTATAAAAATATTGTATTACCTTCGTCTATTAGATGAATTTCAATAAACGTTTATATAATGAATAATAATGAATCACCAGCAACTGTTAAAACTTTAAACTTATATAAATACTGATATAAATACAAATACTGTTGTTTTTTTCAACATTTGATTTCAAATGGTTTTCAATTGGTGACACCAACTTTGAAATCCAACAAAAAATTTTTGTTACGTTCATAAACTTAAATGTTCTCAAAACAACTAAAAAAACCTGGCCAGTTTTTCGCAACTAAATATATTTTCTGTGGTCAGTATTCGAGAGCAATATATAAAAAAGTTTTCAAAATTGTAAAAGTTAAAGCTATGAATAAAGATTTTCAATCATTAGACACTTACCATTTAATAATTTTGTTCATTCAACTTCTCAGAGCAAACATTGAACTTCTGTAAAGATTTTGGAGTTACAGGTAAATCCCAAAGTTTAATAAATTTTTGTTTTATTATTAGAAAATGAGGATAAATCATCTACACCAAGATATACACAATTTTTTGTCTCTTCAATCATTATTTTGACTGGTCATTTTCGCTGTCTTCCTTTTTTGTCTCCAGAGCAGAAATTTAGCCTTATGCTAAATTCAATCTTGTATTGCTTTAAAAATCTATAAATCAAATCATTATTAATTAAGTTATAACTAAAGCTAATGTAATATAATAATGTAATAATAATAAAAGCTTGAAGTTGTTAACTGTTGTACGCAAACTAAATATGGAAAATATCTAGAGATATTAAATTAAAAAATAATGAAACCAAGAATAATGTCCCTCTGCCTCGTAAAGATGGAATATTAGAAAGCTCTACATAAGTAGAATATAAGTTCTAGTAACATCACATTTTGTACACTGTTTTAATATGTTAGTAGATGGGGTTTCATAATCAAACACAGAAAAAATCAAACAAAAGAGACATATTTAAAATGTAAAATATCTGCTTCTAACAATTTCAATGTCACATATATATTATCGATACCTTTAGTAATATATCTTATAATTATTATAAGATATATTATTAAAGGTATCAATAATATATATGTGGCATTAAAGTTGTTAGAAGCAGATATTTTACATTTTAAATATGTCTCTTTTGTTTGATTTGAATAAAGGAGACATTTTAAATTTCTTCTTGATTAAATAAATCAAACATTTAAAATGTCATACAGTATAATTTTTTTTTTTTCATTATTTATAATAGTTTAGATTATATAGCTATTATAATAATAGCTATATAGTCTAAACTATTATAAATAATGAAAAAAAAAAAAATTATACTGTATGACATTTTAAATGTTTGATTTATTTAATAAAGAAGACATTTAAAATGTCTCCTTTATTAAATAAATCGAACATTTGAAATGTTTCATTTATTTATAAATAATAATATTAAATTTTATAAAATAATAATAAAATTTAATAAATTAAATTTAATAAAGATTATTAAATAAAACAAACATTTGAAATGCCAATACAGCAATAAAAATAAAAAAATAACTTTAAGATCTTACAAAAAAATAATTTGATTATTGCCTTTATTATTACATTAATAATTTAGATTGTAGTAAAAAATGTTTTAAGCATATTATTTAAATGTTAACAAATATTTCATTTAAAAAAAACAAAACATTAGGTCACGAGAATCTCTTGAAGTTTACTTCTTATAAGAAACCTTTTAAGATTCTTAGAAGATTAATAAATATAGCTTCTTTTTTTTATTTTTATTACTTAATTAAATGGAAAGATATATAATAGTATCAGAACCTTTTTTTGTTCTGTCAAACGATACCATTTTTAAAAAATGTTTCGAAACAATTTAAAAGTATATACTAATCCGCAACTACATTGGCCGAATATTGGCTACGGTAAAAAGTAAAAACAAATTTTTATGGCAAAATATTAAGCCTAAACTACATTGGCCAAATATTGGCCCAACGTAGTACGATAATTGCAAAAAACCGATTTGTAGAACTGCAATAATACGCCGAAAAAAAAACATTGGCTAAATGTTGGCCCAATATAGTACGATATTTGCAAAAAACAGGTTTGTAGAATTGAAAAAAATACGCCGAAAAAAAACATTGGCTAAATGTTGGCCCAACGGAATAAACTTGCCAATGTTAAAACTTACATTGGGCCAATGTAAGCTTGCTGTCTGGGAAGCTAAACACGATTCAATAACAAGTAGCTCAGTCAATATCGAAACTACTCTATAAATTTTATAGTGAATTTTTTTATTTAAAACTCAATGTGTCAGTTTTTGGTATAAGTTTGGTGTTTGCAATATGTATATTTAACCGAGAAATTATGTTTAATAAATAAATATTTATACTTGTATAATACATTCTTTTTTTTCTCTATATTTTTTCAATGTAACAATGCAAATCATTTTATTTGTAACAACGATCTAATGTTGCATAAAACCATAGGCTAATATAAAAATAATAATCGTATAACATACGATATTGGGCCTATTTTGTATACAACGTTGGGCCAATGTTGTATAAAACGTTGGGCCAATGTTGTATACAACATTGGCCTAACGTTATATACAACGTTGTGCCAATGTTGGGTAAACGTTGTATACAACATTGGGCCAATGTTGTACACAACATTGGGCCTATACCTAACCAATGATCAAACCTGCATTGGGCCAAAATAGACTTTCAACGTTGGGCCAATGCATCACCATGCATTGGCCCAACATTGGTCTAATGTAAGCTTGCTGTCTGGGACAGGGGCAAGACTCATTAAGGAGAAGGTCAAAAAGTTTTAAAAAATAATTAATTCAATAGTAACTTTTTTTTCTTAATTTTTTGTATTTTAGTCTAAAAATCAAGTTAATATAGATATAATTCCGTATAGTAATCCATTTCATTCATCACTATAATAGTCGATTTCAGAATATAAGTAAATTTCAATTAAAATATTTCCGAAAAATAGTCACAAGGAGGATAAAGGGATATAACCCTGCAGCCCCTCCCTAAAACCGGCCACTGATCTTACAATGATAAAGATTTTAGGGTTCACCTTGAAAGAGTAAACACATCAGCATGCACCATAAAAAGAAAAATACTCCAGGGTAAACCTGAAAACAATAAATACTTGCTGCACCTTAAATTAATAAGTACTTAAAAGTACACCTGAAAAAGATGAGTATTTGCACCTAAAAATCAAGAATACTTTGAAATGCGTCTTAAAATGATTACGGTACACTTTGAAAATAAAAATTCTATAGGATGCACATAAAGTTAATATTTACTTCAAAACGCATTTTAAAATAGTTCATAGTGCACCTAAAAATGATATATATATCAGAGAGCACCTAAAAATGATAAATATTTCAACGCGCACCTTAAAGTCACAAAGACAAAATCGTGGGGTGCACCTTATTTTTACATTTAATGGTCTTATTACAATTATATATTTCTAAAAATAAAAAATAATGAACTTTAACAAACTTTTGATAAACGAAAAAACTAGGTATCTAAAAGAAGATTAAAGGATCTTACAAGCATTTAACAAAGGAACTACAATATTAAATTTCAACAAATGTTAAGTAAAAAGTATAAAAATCAACAAAATAAGTAAGAACAAACTTTATATAAATATAAATAAGCAAAGGCAAAATGTAAAAGATTAAGGCTTTTAAAAAAGCAAAACTTAATGGGTACTTTGAAATTAAAATTCAGCAAAACATTTTTATTCCAAATATGCCCGGTAGGCAATACAAAACTGATTAAAGTTTGTTTGATAAAAAGGTAGTCGATAGATGATTTCAAGAGATGCTTTCATCAAAATAAACACCTAAAAAAAAAAATTTTTTTTTAATTTCATTTTGATCAATAAAAATTTTAGGTAAGTTTAATGGCAAAAACCGTTTTTTGGAAAGCAAATGGAATAAGGTCCACTTTGTTTTATTAGTATTTAGAGTTAACTTATAACATTAAAACCAACTCAATACATGTCTAAATTCTTTTTTCATTGTTTTAAAAAGTTTAAAGATATCACTGTTCATACAAAACAATTTCTACTTCATGGTGCACCTTAAAATGATAAATACTTAAAATAAAAAAATATTTCAGAATGACCTAAAAATAAAAAAATATTTCAGGGTGCACCTAGAAATCATAAATACTCCACGGTGCATCTTATAATGGTGATAAACACTTTGCGGTACAGCTTGAAAATTAAAAATACTATCGGACGCACATAAAATTAAGAATAATTTTAAAACGCACTTTAAAATATTTCAGAATGCACCTAAAAACAATAAATATATTAGGGTGCACCTACAAATGACAAACATTTTTACGTGCAGCTTTAAGTCATAAATACTTCATGGTGCATCTTTAAGTGATATATAATCAAGGGTGCATCTAAAAATTAGAAAGCAAAGGATTTTTTAAAACCAACAAATCACAAATTAAGCCTTCTTCCTAACCGATGCACGCTGGGCAAATTTTTCAAAAACCTGACCAAAAGTCAAAAAATAAAGATTATTATTTTAAATTTATTATTTTGCAATAACGTAAACAAAGCCCTGTCGCACTTTATTTTTAAAAAAAAATTTTTTTTAATTTTAAAAGGATCCCTAAGTGCTATAAAAACAAAAGTTTGATGTATATTATTTTTTCTAAAACGTAATAATGAACACACACTAACAAATTTAATTTTAAAAAAAACGCTTTTCTTCGATTAAAAAAAATGCGTCTTGTCCAAAGTTTGTTAACTCTAATGCCTCAAAAACTAACGTTTGTACGTCAAATTAAACAAAGTAGACAAAATGTCATTATTGCAGATTTAAAAGTAAAGTCGTTAAATAGTCTTTTTAAATAACACATAATTACATACAAAAATAAGTTTTGTAGCATTTTGTGAAAATATATTTGTATATTAAAATTTTTTTTTAATTTTTATTTTGTTACAAGGGCAATTCCACGGCCAAAAATAAATAGAAGTCAAATTTTAAATTCTTTTTAGTCAGTTTATAACAAATGAATTTTGATGTAGACACATTAAAGTTTATTTAAATTACTTTCTTAGTACAAAAATAAATTTATTCCAGTCATTTTTATGCTTCCGAAAGAGACGGTTATTCTCTTTGTCTTTTGATAAAAAAAAATAATTATTGTAAAATGTTTTAGTTAAATTAATATTTATGTGGATTTTGCTATATTATTTTGATTCAAATTGATAAGGTTGAACAGACATTTCAATAGAAATTAAACTGTGAGCAGGGCTCGAATTAACGCAAAATAATCTAATCGCGAAAAAATATATAATTTTTTACCTCCCCTTCCCCTCTCTCTCTCTCTTAAAGCTCGCGCCGTTATTCATTTTAAGAACAATGCTAATATGTTTATTTAAGTTTTTTTTAATATGAAACCTAAA